ATATACATACACACATACATATACACACACACATACATACATATATACAAACACACATACATATATACATACACACATACTGTTCCGCTACTTGTTTTTCACTTAACAAGGAATCATGGGTTTCTTTCCTGGCCACTACATAGCACTCGATCTCATTCGTTTTAGTGGCTGCATACTGTTCCAGAACTCTTCCTGGTTTTAAAATGATTATCAGGCAAAGAATTCAGAAGACCAACTCTGAGTCTGGGATATATTCAGTGGGAAAGGACCTTTTGGCTTGTGCCTCTCCTGCCCGTAATTAAACGGAGCGCTCACTTCGATGAGCCCCTACCAATAACATGGCAGTTGTGCTCCCCGGGAAATGCAAATAACATGCCTTTGCCTACGAGTCATTTCAGATACAAAATCAGACTGTGGCTTTCACCATGTCTAAAGGGATGCATTTTTCTCATTAGGATTCACTGGTGCCTGTGTAATAAAGGAAAACCTACATTTCCATAGGAATGAAGTGTCAAAATGCCATCTTCTCAAAGCACATGCAGAAAGAGGAACACGAAATGAGGTGATGAGGACAGAAAAAAAGTACCTCATCCTGCAGTCCTAACTTGTCAGAACGCTCATTAATATTAATGCAATGCCACAAAATTCCAGAGATCAAATGAAAGGGTTTTTAACTTGTTAACAAGATTTCAAGAAACTTGAAAATAAAAAATAAAACCCAAACTGTACAGCTCCAAAAAAATAAGTAAATAATTCATTGACTGCAATGCCTGTAAAGGAGCTTAGTTGATAGATAACTAAGAGGAGATAAAATAGATACACTAACTGAGACCAATGAATTAGATATCATAACAGCCATATTACTTTATTCTTCTTTAGGTGGTAAGCAAATGAGACTAAGTAGAGATTGGTGGATTCTTTCAAAATAAAAGTATGACAAATAGATCAGCTAGAAAAAAGAATGCATTCACTGATGGGCTGAGAAAGCAGTATTTTAAATATCCTATTGATATATATTGGAAATAGTTTCTCTTCTCTTTATTTTTTTTTAACAAAAGTCAGATCTGAAGAGGAAACCATTAATAATACTGTAGTTAATGCAGCAATGCTCAAGGAGAGTCCAGATATGTTAGCCCCTAAATATTTGGTATTCAGGACTATACATAGTAAATAAATTATTACAAAAATAAAACTCAATGAAGCTTACTTATGTTAACTCGTCCATTCTGTCCTGGTGGTATAGTAGTTAGGCGTTGGGCTGCGAGCCGCATGGTCAGCAGTTCGGAACCACCAGCAGCTCTGTGGGACTGGGCTTTCTACTCTCATAAACAGTTACAGTCTTGGAAAAGCACAGAGGGTCACTATGAGTCAGCACTGACTTGACGGCGGTGAGTTTGGGTTTTTGAGTCCAGTCTGGGGGTAAGAATTTTTAAAAAAGGAACGAGTAAGACCCTCAATGAGAAGGACTGACATGCTGGCTGCAACCATGGGCTCAAATGTATAAAAAAAACTGATGGTGAGGATGGTGCAGGTAGGGGCAGTGTTTCTTCTGTTATACACAGGGTCGCTATTTGTCAAAACTGATTTAACATCACCTAGCACCAACAACGTCTATTCTGCAAGATGCATACGCTCACATTTATATAGAGAAAGAAGTACATGGTATAGAGAAAGAGATCAAATGTCACTTTAAATCAGAGTTGAATGCACACCCAGGGCACTGTACAGTAAGGTATATTTGTAAGGTATAATTTTGATATGCATGGAGCACAAACAGCTCAATAAAACCAAACCAAATCCCGCCACCCCACCCCACCCCCCACTGCCATGGAATTGATTTCAACTCACAGCGCCCCTGCAGGACAGGGTGGAGCTGCTCCTGTGGCTTTCCCAGACTGCGACTCTTTCTGGGTATAGAAAGCCTCAACTTTCTCCCACGGAGTGGCTGGTGGTGTTGAACTACCGGCCTTGAGGTTAACAGCCCAACATGTAACCACTATACCACCATGACTCTTAAAAACGCAATAGTTTCTTAAATAAAATAGCAAAGTAATAACTACTCTATGGTTGGATTTTGCATTTTAACTATTGGGTTGGTTTAAAAAAAGAAAAATAATCCACCACATGTCTGTCATTTTGTCACACTGTGGTGGTGTGTGTGTTGCTGTGGGGCTGAAAGCCATGCCCCTGGGATTTCCAATAGCAGCGGGACCATGCAAAGGGAACACGTTTCAGCAGATCATCCAGAGTGAGAACAGACTAGAAAGAAGGAAAAGGCTGTCCACTTCGGAGGAATTAGCCACTGAAAACCCTACGGGCAGCATCGAAACACTGTCAGATACTGAAAACCTAATAAAAAAGAAGAAAAAAGAAAGAAAATGTAGCAAATGGAAGCAGAGCACTGCTGGAGATCGGGTGGGGGTTCGTTCTGCTGTACACAGAGTTGCTATGTGTGTGAACCAACTTCATGGCACCTAACAACAACAATAAAAACACATACAAATAAATAGAAAAGGCATCTTACGCAAAGCACGTGAATGCCGATACGGCAGCCGCACTACCGCCTGAGCTTCCTCCAGTTATTAGCCAATCAGAATCTTCATTTTCACCCTGTGGTTTCTGCTTCCTCTTTTCTCTATATTGCTTTGAATAACTCCAAGGGTTTTTAACTGGTCCAAATACACCATCTGTACTTCCCGATCTGAGATAAAGAAATGAGAGAGATACCTTAGTAAAACTTTAATTTTATGTCCAATTTTCGTTTCCTGAGTATATCATTTGCTTCTGATACTCATTGAGCTTTGAATACTGCACCGCAGCTTGAACTGGAGAAGCAGGAAGCCTATTTGGGTGCAGCTTCTGTTAGAGGGCTGAGCAGGCAGAGGATGGGATGTGGTAGAAAGTAGAAAACGAGTCTACTAACAAAAGATAACCGCATCACAACTCATCCATTTCAGGTACTGATGATTTACTTCTTAAATTACAAGGTGTAAGTCTTCTTGTACCATATAAATTTTGAAATAATTTTAATCTCATAGATAAGGTGTAAAAATACAGATAACATGAAAAGCACAGAATACACATTAATAATGATCTTATTTGCTTTATTATTTGCATGCGGTGTTTGTGTTTCTATATTTATAAGAACCTTTCCCCCCTCAAGCCACGTTAGAGCAAGTTATATTCGCATATCCATTCATCCCTGAATACTCTAGCATGTATTTAGTATGCACTTCCTCAGGAGAAGGATTATCTCCTACACAGTCACAGTATTGTTACCAATCCTGATAAAGTTAATATTAATAGAATATAATCTATTGCCCATAATCCAATTTTGTCAGCTAATCCAATAATGTCCTTTGAAATACTGCCCCTTCCAGAACAGGATCAAATCTAGTGTTATATTACATTAGTTGTCATGTCTCTTTAGCCTCCATTTTTTGTTGTTATTTGTTAAATCACTCATTAACCAGCACCTATTAAGCTGCTATTTCTGGGCAAGGATGTCTGATCTCATCACCTCTATACAGAACAGTACTGTCTTAGTTTCCTACTGCTGCTGTGACAGAAGTACTGCAAGGGGGTGGCCTGAACGAACATGCATTTACTTTCTCAAAGTTCAGTAAGCTTTAGAAAGTTTGTGGAAAAGTGGAATTAAAAAATAATGGAATTTTCCCATGAGCTTTTTGAAGTCTCCCCAGTATAAAAGAAGAAAATTTCAATTTTACTTACCCCATAGCAAACTCATCTAAATTTGTTTTTCCCATCAGCAGAGCTCCCTGATCCAACAACTTCTGAACGACAGTCGCGTTATAGGGTGGCACATAACCTGAAAGGTGTTCCGCTCTTTTTATTATGAGAAAGAAGCAGTGAGCATGTGAAGCACAGGCCGAGAACAAACACGATTTCCTGCATCTATTAATTTTTCTTCATTTCAGTAAGCTGTCCTTTCGTTCAAGAGTTAGTTTTTCTCGATTGCTAGCTACTACTATGCTTTCTCCCCAAAGATATGTCTGCTTTTTCCCCAAATGACAGTTTGTACATTCACCATTTTTACAGTTGAAAAGCACTGACTTTAATAGTTAGTACTAAACAGTTACTGGTATGGCTAAGTCACTTGAAACTAGTAGTAAATTTTTATTCTGTTCACTGTACTAGACTCTTTCTGTACAAAGCAATTGCTATTGGTAGAAATACATTTTCATTCTCTACTAAAAATCTATTGGGAAGCTCTGGTGTAGATTCCAAACCAATGAACAGAAGTTCACCCAACAGATGACCCTGGGACACACTCCTCACGGAGGAGTACTTTCCGTGTGCAGTACTCCAGAGAACCCCTTTTCAAGGTGCTCCCTCCTAGGATACAAACGTCTGGATAAACATGCTTCTCCAACTTCCGGAGTAGGACCCATTCACTGAGCTCATCTGCCTCGGACAAAGAGCGGGACGTGAACAAGGATCACGTTCTATCCCGTGTTTCCGTGGAGACGACTGCCAGTCTGAGATGGTCTTCCTGCTTCAGTCCTTCGCATTTCCTTTTAACCGACTCAAAAGAACTCAAACGCAATTCCGTTATCTTTTACCTCTTAGCATGTTTGATGCACATGTTGTCTCAATACCAGATGTGCTGAAGTTGTCTTTTACAGCAACGGGAATCCCGTCTAAATCCCCAAGTGACTGACCTGTGTTAATAAGTCATAAGACTATTAATACCATATTAATATAAAATTTATTATTTTTATTATACAAATATATATTATTGTTACACTAGTCTATAAAGACCACAATGTAGGCATTATAATACCTACTAAATGTGGCAAAAATGGGCCTTGGGAAATCAAGTTGGTACTCAAAACAAATTTACTGGCATCGAGTCAATTCCAACTCACAGCAATCCTATAGGGCAGGGGAGAACTGACCCTGTGGGCCTCTGAGGCTGTAGCTTTTTACCGGAGTAGAAAGTCTCATCTTTCTCCCGAGGAGCAGCTGGTGGTTTCAAACTGTTGACCTTGAGGTTAGCAGTCTAATGCATGGCCTGCTAAGCTATCAGGGTGCCTCTTAGACATTGTTATGGTTAAACAGATATCTATTGGTCTCATTTTGACTCTACCTGGGGCAAATTCGCTAAATAAGAGTGGATTTTATGTTAAAAGCTTCACTTGCCAAGTGGAGAATGCTACATGCAATTAAACTCTCTCTGGAGGAAGAACAATTAAGTATAATTAAAATGAATTTACCTTTCGCATATCTCTTGTCAGATTCTTCAGCTTGCTTGAGGGCCACCTCTTCTGTCACAGTTATGTAAGCATTTAGGAACTTGGTCTTCTTGATCAGAGAGAGGCATTTTTGACAGAGCTCAGTTGGAGTAATGTGGCCTTGCTTCAGCCCTGCAGAAACCTATGGGACACACAAGTCAAAACCCCTTTACTATGGCTGCAGCCGTCCCCCGTATTCCACTGAGGGGTGCAGACCAAGTGGTGCACTGTGAAGTGAGGCTTGGGTTCAAAATCAAGAGCACCTATCCACTCTAGACTGACCAGATGGAACTGAAGGGAAATGCATTGATCATTTGAGGGGGCACCAACAGTTTGAACCCACCCACTGACACCATGGAAGAGAAGCCTGGCATCTACTTCTCTATAAAGAGTGTAGCGCAAACAACCCTGTGGAGCAGCTGGGCCCTGGGACACATGGAGAGAGTGTGCGTCAGAATCCACTCCATGCCCTGGTTACTTCAGTTCTTTTCTTTCCTCTCCCTAGTTGAACAGCATTCTTTCTAAGCCATGCTTGTACAAGCAAAAGCCCTAGTTTAGGTTAGTCATACCAGTCAAAGTAGGAGCCCAGCACTGGTAAAGGATGGGTTAGGGGAGATGATGTATGGTAGGCAGTTTAGCTGAACACAGGCAATCCCCAGTGGAGTGGGAAAATGAGCTGGGAAAGGCACCTTGGGGCTTAATGGCTCTAAATGCGACCACAAACCTATTGTCGAACTTAAGCATCATCCACCTCCAAATGGGAGAAATGTTTCTATGACCAACATAAACGTTTCTGTAGCTTGTCACTGATGTATTAAGTCTAGTACAGAAAGTATTAAAATAAACTGGATACCAGTGACCGGAGATTGTGTATTGATAGTGCGGGAAGCCCGAAGTGAAAAAGGGTGAAGGATGAAGTAAGGCAGAGCTTTGAGGAGGCTGAGGCCGCTGCTCCTGTAAAGATTCACCTCAGATCCCTCCTTGTCAGAATGGGCTCCATGGCGATGGGGTTTCCTTTGTATCAAAGCTGAACTCACTACCACCCAGTCGATTCCAGCTCCCAGTGACCTTTCAGGTCAGGGTAGAACCGCCCCTGTGAGTTTCCAAGGCTGTAACTGTCTACGGGAGTCAAAGCTCTGTCTTTCTCCCATGGAAACAGACCTAGACGTCTAAAAAAACCCAAAACCCAGCCATTAGAAAATATTATGGAACACAATTCTTCTTTGACACAGACTGGGTAGGCACGAGTCCTAACTAGCTTGATGGTAACTGGGGGTGAAAAATGAGATAGGAAGAGTGAGCAACAAAAAGTCAAAGACGATACTCAAGCTTTGGAAAGTAGGTGAAGAGAGGTGGCCAAGGTGGAAGTTCAGGGGCAAGGGAGTTGGGAAAAGTCTTAATATTTAACCAAGAGACCGGCCCTGTTATTTTATATGTGGTTATAATTTCATTTAATCCTTATAGAAACAACCCAAACTCAGTATTCCTCACCTACAGGAGAGGTTCAAAGAGGTCAAGTAATTGTTCAAAGTCACACATATTGTAAATGTCAGAGGTGATTCATGACCCATGTCAGCAGCCCTGGTAGCACAGTAGGTTCTGTGTTGAGTGGCTAACCATCAGGTCAGTGGTTCCAATCCACCAGCTGCTCCATGGGAGAACGAGGAGGCTTTTAACTCCCATACAGAGTTAGTCTAGGAAACCCACAGGGCCGTTCTACTGTCCTCCAGGGTCAGAGTATGCTCTGACTCAGGATTCCACGGCAGTGAGTGTGGCTTTGGGGTTTCAGGACACGCACGCTTCACTGTTTGCGCACCTATGCTCCTGGAAGCGTGGTATGTATACGCTGTTTGTTTTCCAGGTGGACTGTGCATTTCCTCATGTACATGTTTCACATGCATCAAGCAACAGGGGCTTGTATGGTGAAAGGAAAATTTCTGCAAATGATGTGTTCTGTGTTGAATAACTCACCAGAGCCAAGGCAATCTTAAGGTTGAGACTTTTAAATGAGAAAAGCAGTGGGTAGGAGCCATTGAGAGGACCCCCAATGCTAATGGACAAATGGGGGAGAGGCAACTGCCAGGAGGAGGCTGTGGGACGTGATTTAAGAACGCAGAGGGGCAGCTAGGTTTGGCAAAGAGGTAATCAAGTAAAAGGTTTGTGTTACATGTGGACCCTGGACACAGGGCCTGGGGAGAAATAAAAGGCCATGGTGTACTTATTTGGATACTGTGAATC